TAATTTAATAATTTAGGAGCACAATTTTATAACGTAGATTACTCTTCAAATGTATAGTTTTTAAAAAATAATGTCATAGTGGCAATTCATTACTTAAAAAAAAAGTCAATAATAAATTACAATTCACTGAAAATTCTGAATACGGAAATCAACCAAATTATTTTTTTAAATTTTAAATTGAGAAATAACTATAATAAGTACTTCAAATTGATATAATGAATAAAAATGTATAAAAAGTGTGCATCACGTATTTTACGATTTTTGTTGCTATTAAAGTTACTATATTCATGTAGACGAAAAAAATTTACTACAAGAAATGTTGTTGACGTGTAAAATAAAAATAATAAAAAAATATAAAATGAATACACAGGATTTATAAACACCGTATAAAAATAAAATGTATTATCTATCTAGGTGTTCACTATTAAATTTTTAAAACGAATTTCCATCACATATCGACGAACATAGTACAACTGAAAAGAACACGCTTACCGATATCTTGCCGTTTACATTAGTACAAATGTATGTTTAGGTGTGCGTATCACCGTGGCAGGGGAAGTAGGTACAGCCAAATTTATACCCCCTCCATCCCACACAAATGTAATACCCAATAGTTTTTTATGATCATAAATATTATAATTTTTGTCATGATAAAAACATTACATAAATTACCATTAACAATATGCATAACATTATTAGTTGAATTAAAGATTAAGATAACTCGTTTATATAAATTATAAGGTCTATTATTATTATTATATATAATATCTGATTCATTCCCTAAATATACATAGTGTTCAATCTATATCATACTTGAAAAATCAAAAATATTATTTAGTAATCAGGTAGTAATTACAAGTATCCTTTATTCCTTTTTGTTATAAATTATTATTCATCACAACAAAAATTATGTATTTAAATTTTAATGCCTAAAAGTTATGTATCAATTGAGTGCTGAGTTTACAATATCTTATAAGTATATAAGTACATAAGTAATAAGTTATCATATCTTAAAATTGGGGTAGATAATTTTTTTATCACTGTATTTATTCAGCATTTAATAATGTTTAGATGAAACTAGATATAAATACAGGAAATATCAAAAATAAAAGATCAGTTATGTACATTTTTGATTTAAAATAATGAGGACTTAACATATTTATAAAAGTAATAAGACTTATGTAAGGCTGTTAAAATATAATAAGTAGAGATTTGGAAACTAGCTAAGACTTATTTTTAAGAGTACAATTTACAAACCTAACTGAATATAAAAAAAGTAATAATGCACAAAAATTTAGTTAAATTAAAAAATTGAACCTAATACATAACATTTTTAAAAGGTTTTCAAGAAATTAAATTTAAAAAAAAATGGTGATAATGCAATACAGTTATACAATTATTGCTATGTCAGTAAAATTGTATTTATTTAAATTATCATCAATATTAAAGTTTGTGTTAAAATTTATGCTAAGAGTACATTTTATATTATTTATCTAAATTGATTAAATTGATCAATGAACGTTATTTTTATCTTTTGAATTATTTTACAAGTGAATAAAAATAAATAAATTACTGGTATTAAGTTTGTAACTTAACCATAAGAACAAACTTTAAATTTAACGCAATTTATTTTAGTTTTTTAACAACAAATGACTACAAAATAATAACCAATAAGTGAAGGTTAATGCAGATTCTATTAAGTACATTTTGCCATTTTATATTTGTTGTAAGTATACCATACTGTATATACTCAAAGTTGAAACCAAAATTAATAATCTAAATAAAAACTATATAAAATAATCAAATAAAAACTCTCAGCAAAATAAGTAACTTACACAAAAACTAACCACTAAATATAATTTTGGTTACCTACATTAATTTCAAGACTAATGAAAACATTTTTGATTCAACACCAAGCATATACATAAATATTTTTTTACAAACATTTTGATTAGTTTCAAATTAAAACGTTTTCAGAAATATTAAACTAACTTAACCATTTTTATTATCATTATTATTAAAATATCATAAGACATTTTCACTTTATTTCTTATTACAGTGTCATAATATTCATTAAATAATATATATAATATGATGGGCACACCAATTGAATAAAACACAAATAAAGATAAATTTTTGTTACATAGCAATATACTAGGAAGTAAATATTTTTTTAAATGTTCAATATTTACTCACTCATAGGTAATATTAAAAAGCATATTTAGTATAATTTTCTCCTGCTTATCATGCAACTCAAACCAATGCATGCAGTGAAAACATTAAATTAGGTACCTATTTAAAAGTGTGATTTTGACATGTCATATTGTTTTGAAGGAACTTTCAAGGTCTTTTGCAAAATATATTCATTAAATTAAACAGACCATATTAAGTTCCCTATACAAATAATAGATAAGTGTATTAACCCTTTTTTTATTTAAATATAACTACATAAAATATTAACTTACCAAGGCATAAAGATTTCTATGATTTTGAATATCCATGGTTGATTTTTCTAAAACACACAATTAATAAATCTAATTAACTAACTATTAAAATAAAGTATTAAAAAAAAATTTTAGGCACCTATTTAAAATAAAAACACGATACAATAAATGTTTGTGATTGAAACCCTTCTTCATTGTACATGATATAATATGCAATAACAATAAATTGTCAATTGGTAGGTAATCTATACACTAATGTCATTCTAGTATTCTACAGATAGAAATATTAATACAAAATAATATATTGATTCAATCATACACTGAGACAGCAGAATTGAACCAATCATCCATCCCACAATAATAAATCAGACTAGTTATAAACGCTTGTTAATTAGACGAGCACATGTATATATAATGTACATAAATAATTGGTATAAAAATGTATGGGTTATGGTATCGCAATGATAGTGAAATATGTTTATAACAATTCAGCTTAATGAATACCTACAGTGGCGTAGCCAGGGTGGGTTTTTGGGTGTTTAAGCCCTCTGTCCATCCGCCTGTCTTTTTTCCTCTAATCAATGTATAACCTATATAATTAATATCCGAAAACAGTAAAAAACTTAGTTTAATTTATACTTTAAATCCCCCCTCCTTTCATAGTCCTGGCTACGTCACTGGTACCTACATTTTGTCCAGTGAGAGAGAACACACCACAGGCAGACAAAAATTGGTTCTTATGAGCTTTGTTCTCTGACTAGATAAAGTATAAGAACAATAGGTATGTCAATAAACATTGAATCATAATTTTAATATACATGATTTACAATATTTTTAAACCACATTAAAAACTGTACATATTATAATATTATTATGATTTTCATGAAAATACAATAATTTACATAGTAGTCATCTGATTTAAAAAACATGCTTTACATAATGTAATATGTATATAATAAACAATTTATTGTTGGAAATTGGAATACTAAACATATTTAAACTGAATAGTTAGGTACTCAATTTATGAAAATATGCATTTTTCATTATCTATGAACCTAGTAAAATAATTACTGAACTTTAAAAACACGCCTAATTATTATGAAATTGTATTATAAAATGAGAGTAGGTATAAATATAAACAATGACACAATTGATAACAAATTCTTGACCTTATACTTTTTAACTGTTTCATAGTGTTCAATGTACATGGACTGTGATAATAAAAAAATATATATGTTTAGTTTTATAAATCTACATACCTAGGTATATTATTTAAAAACATTACCTAAATACATAATATACAATTTAAGCTCGAATTTAAGTTATTTAACAATTTGGCATTAAGCCAATTATGATAAAAAAAAAAAAACAGATACCTATGTAATATCAATATAATATTGCTATTGAACCTTAAATATTATTACAGTTCAGTACATTTCAAATTAAATCTATGTCATTAACCAACTACAGTTTTTTACCATGTTACCAAAATTTTAAAAATATAACAAGACAGTAGTGACATATTTATCATTCACATTATACACGTTTTAAGGCTTGTTGATGTAATAATTAAATAAACTTAAGTCTGAAATAGAGATAAAGGGAATGCAATTAACCTAATATCTGAATTGGTACATTAGTACATTATTTATGTCTAGGTGCTTAAATTTATTTTATTATTATAATTCCTATTTACAACGTACCTATTTATAGAGAAAACTCGTTTCCAGAGAGTTCGAAAAGCAAATATTATTGAAATATTGATTTCGACTGAGTAAAAACCGATCGTTAATAGTTTATAAATAAATGTGATAATATAATTATTATTTAAATATATAAGCTCAAATTAAAGTCAATTTATTGGAGATTCAAGAACATTTATCAATATTTCGTGAACACTGTATCACAAGATCTGGATGATAAAGATAAAGAGAAAAACAAAATAAGAAAATGTTCTCGACTTTCGTTCTAGACAAGACGTCGTCCACACAGAAGACAACCACCATGGATGAGAGGGGGAGAGAAAACAGAACGATATAAAAAAAAGTAAAAACTTAATCCCATCTAATCAATAATTATTATAGTACAATTTTAACGGATTAAAGCAAATTTACCTTGTTTCAGGGATGTCATCGTCTTGAATAATTCGTCTATGGAAATTGGTGAACAACTGATAATTGAGCCATCGAATGACAGGTACGAGTCAAAAATGTCGCAACGAGTTTTACGACCGGATGCAGCTTTCGAGTTTCGACGCACAAACTCGAACAGTCAAAACGATATTATCAGAAGGCGTTTGACGTCTCGGTAACGAACCAACGTACGCACAGTCGGCGCGCAAATGAAAATATAAATAATAATAATAATATTATACGAAAAAACCTTATCACGGTCTCCTTACGATAGGATGTTATGTGCAACGAACGACCAATCGATAAACGAATGGTTGGATGTTAGCCACAGATTTACGGAAACGGAACTTGTTGAACACGTCTTGAACCAGTCACGGCACTCGGCACGACAACGACGACGGCGCGCGGCGCTCGGGGCTCGGCACAACTCGGCATTCAGCGATGCCCTCCGGCACCGTCACCGAGCAGTGCCGTTTTAGTCGATAGTCGTGAACTCGTGACTCGCGATTCCGGTTAACTAAGCAGTTAAGTTATAAGTGGTACGCTTTTTACGATCACCGCAATGATTATAAATATTATGATGAACATATTAAAGTGATAATAATATTATCGTTTGTATTTCAGGCTTGCAAATAGATTAAATTGCGTCGGCACGTTCGGCGAACTCCGGCGGGACCTCCATTTATCTGATTTCCTCAGTGATGACTATAAATGATAGTACCTTTTTTTGTCCCGGTATCGCGAACTGCGTTAGCATTACTTCATCCCAAATTACTAAACTACTTACCGATTATCCTAATTGTTTTATAGTACATGCACTATGACGTATTATGTGCCTACCTTAAGCATATTTCATAAATTACTATAATAATACACCTAGTGCCTACCGGGTAACCGTTCAGCGTTTTGCTGTCAGACATTTTGTAAGGACTCATAAGTCCTCGAGCAGACCAACAAAATTTAATGCACATAGAAATATTTTAATAGAATTTTATTTAATTATAGGGTAGCACAGATTATTATGTAACGAAATTTATGTCTTCGCATATTATGCATTTTAGAAACTTATACCTGTGTTTCGAACATCGTGTCAGCGATGGGATAAAATTTTTTTTTTAAACCGAGTTCACAGCTATGTTGTTCCTCGTGCAGTTGTGTCCAAAAGTTAAGCTCAACTATGGACATTTCCTGGTAGACCATGGTGAGTGAATGATACCATTGATACCATGGCGACAGCGGTCAATCAGAATACGGTACATCCACACGACGCGACAGATGATGTAGTTTGTGTGTTAATTGTGTTTCAAAATACAAATGTATGATACGTAAAATTAATTATTATGATATTTATTCGTATTAAGTATTCAATATTCATGTTTTTAAAAAATTTATTTTTAGTTATATTTCATCACATTTAGTTTCTTTAAATTTGTATCAAACATATTATTCATATCATTAATTTATACATAGTTTATGCTATCAAAATACCATTGAATTAACAAATCATAATTTATAAATAAAATAAAATGATAAATAAATAATTTATTTAAACTTGAATCGTAAATTGCCTACACGAAACGCCGTCTGAAACATTGTGCATAATATTATTATGTTGGCCGTGGACCAATATTAAAGCTAGCTATAGGATCTTTTATAACACTATTTAAATGACATATTTTTTTATTTAAAACATTCGATAGGTTTATTTATACAGATTCGTAATTTATAAATAATTATTAATTATAATTTATAATTTCCTTTACAATTACTTAAATGTATTAAGAGGTGTGTTGTCTTCGCATTTCCGTCTTACTAACTTATAACATGGCCAATTGCACGTTTAGCGAATAATCCATTTTACTTGAATATTTTAATATTGTGAAAAATCAAGTGAGTCGATCTATTAACAAACTTAAAAGTAAGAAGATTAGCCATAATTTTTTTGTACTTATTTAATTGCTCACAACTTGCTTGAAAATTCAAATACCAAAAAAAAATCTTCATGAAGCTCTAAATAATATACATTTTATCTATAAATAATATATTTATCTATAAGTAAATTTTTCCTAATATTACATATAACAGAGTAAAATAGATCATTCTAAACGTAAAATTTGCTATATTTTGTGTTAGTATATAACAGAGTCAAAGTGAGGATACATGTGCGTATGACGTCCTCTTGTAGTTTCACTTTAGGATGCGGTATTGACGTCACCATTTTCTTGGGATTTTGTAGTTCTAGCCATAATCTTGATCGTAATAGTCTGTGCACAACAAACAACTAATGCCAATATGCTCATAACGAGATAAGTCTCGCTGCTTCCTATTTCGTTGAAGAGGTAACCCGTTATAAGACTTCCAAGACCCACTCCTAAACAAAGATTATACATTAAGTTACAATTAGTTTTATAGCAGCATAGCTAGTACATTTAAATGTTCTAAATTATTTCTTTAAATACTCACCTATTCCTTGGAAGACCGTACTAAACAACCCCTGAACAGTACTTTTGAGTCCTTCTGGTGCTAAAATGCTTGCATAAGCTGTCATAGCCGAATATGGTAATGCATAACCTAGACCACTCAACAACTCTACAGGCAACACCCACACTGGATCTTCAATAATATAATATAGGAAAAATCTAAATGATAGAGTAGCAAGACCAATTATTATCGATTTCAGGTGACCTACTTTATTAATGATTTTACCTGTAATATTTAGTATAAATATTAAATCAAATTATTGTCGATGAATAAATAACATTGTGTTGTGAATGAGTAACTCACCAGATAAAAAGAAAAATGGCGCTTCACCTCCAAAACATTTTATAGCAAACAGTGTTCCTTCAATTGTTTTTATCGAAGGATATTTTTCCGGGTGATACCTAGTGACCAGTTCTTCCATATGCCTTCATAAAGTGTTTTTAAATATCTTTTAATATGTGCAAGATACAAACAAATAAAGTTACTTACCATAACAAATATAGAGAAATACTTCCATAAAAAATTCCAAAAAAAACTACCCAAATAAGGAAACTTACTACTCTAATATCATTAAGCACTTTTTTGAGATCTTTGAAAATATGTTTTGATACGACATCACTTTGACAATCCTTTAAAATATAAATCATTATTAGTATTAATAGATTAGATTAGGTTTAATATTCAATTGCATAATATTTATATTTATGATTGATGGGTTAAGGCTTATATAACACATTTATACATGGGTAGGTGATGCAAAAATTACTAACCTAACATATGGGGGTGGAGGTTAAGTAAAAAGTGAAAAATTCCCAACACTCCTAATATTCTAAATACAAATTGCAAAAAACGGGTTATACTCAGGTAGATAACACCAGTTTTCGACAAAATCGATTAATTATTTTGTCGTTTAGTTGAGAAAAGCATAACCGTAGGTATTTGAAACGTGCACTATATACAATGTAATTTTCTAGAAAAGATATAATTGTTCAAATTTGTTGTTCTTACACTAATTTAAAGTTATTTGTACAATTATACTACGAACCTATTCACATAACATCGCACTGTTCTACAATATTTCGGTATTAACATACATTAATAATAATAATATATGAGATATTCTTGGTGAATATAAATTCAACCAACAGTGCCTAATATATGTATTAATAGTACTATTATAGAAAAAAATAAATTACTAATAGTAATATAATTATATAAATGTAAATTGTAATATAAAATATCTTTAGAGATAGAGACGTCAGTACACCGTCTCCGTTCCTCGTCCTTTATCATAAAATGGTTTATCATTGAGTTAAATATGGATACACCCATTCTTGTGACTTGCACATCGATGATACCGTACAATTAAACTCAACTAAACAGAGTATACGAATGAAATTAAATATATTAAATGTATAATAATATTGCAGCCAATTCCTATCGAATAATTTATATTTAATTATTAATATATTGATTCTTGTAGTATTAGTATTCTTAGTATTTTCCATATTATAAAAATGTCACAATATAGCATTGTTATTATTATTTGGAAGGTGAATTTAATCCAATAACAACCTTAAAAAATGTATTAAAATCCTAAAAATGCTTTAATTGAAAAGTAAAAACTATGTTTTAAATTATATTAATATTAGTGTACAACATTTTTAGACAATATATTGTTTGAAGGAAGTATATGATTTAGATTACGATAAAAATATTGTATACAACTTGTTCTAATACAGAGTGATACCTAATAGTTAAAATTAAATATATTTACTTCTATTTTAAAAGCAACCAGGAAGTCTGCCAACAAGAAAACTATAGACACGATGATTCCGGGAGTGTAGTTTTTTATCTGACTTCCACCACTGTACCAGTCGATCAACCAACCCGTCATTATGGAAACCGAACCCCAACCGATACAGCCCCACAATCGTTGTTCTCCAAACTTGTGCGTGTCTTTACCTATACAGATCATGCCAAACTCAAAACATAATAATGAATAACGTCATAACGATATAACTCTTAAAAATATAATAATATTATATTAAACACTTTGTTTAACTAGAGAACACGCCGATTCTGGGATACCTCATGCTTTCCTGACCGGTTCCACTATCTGGCAGGGTGTTGTGTGGGGAAAACCCCTATTTTTGTCGGGCCGTGGCGTGCTCTCTCGCTGGACTAGGCATATAAATATTAATATATTATAATATTTTTAATTTCGATTGCCATTTAAAATCGTATTTACGGATTTAAGGATTCAACCTGTTCATGTATATACGAGATACCAATGTCATTCTCCGTTATAATATTATTCTCTTGAGTCTTCATCAATGATCAACATTCGTTCAATACTATAAAAAAGATATGTTATTTTTCAAACCTACCCAAGCTTTGCAAGCACATGGTTTCCGATAAAGTGTTGACGATGCTGATCGTGACGTATCTGGTAGCTAAGAAGATGCAAAACAACCAGAACTGGTAAGTGGCAAGCGCGGTCTCATCCCGCCCGTCATTGACATCCTTTGGTGGGTCGGGCATAACCTCGTAGGAAGCAGTTATCAGAGTAACCACAAGAATAACGCACAGGAACATGATCTTTTGGCATCGGAAGTGATCGGCCATGGCACCGAAAATGGGACGGGCAAACACTGCAGCGAGGGGCATCACTGAGAAGACGGCACCCACCAGCTTTGCAGAGTAGCCCCGTTGTTTGGCTATGGTGGTCAGGTACGGTGTCATCGGCGACGTGCCTGCAGCGGTCCACACGAGAGCATGACATAAGGAGAAATATAGTTATGAAGAAGAAATTATCAAGAAAAAGTGACAATGTGAATATGTGATTAGTGATATGATAGTATATGTATAAATATATTATAATATTTAACATCTTGTACTCGGTCACGAGTTAGTCGTAGTCTGCTGGCTGAAGCAGGTAAAAATGAACAATCACGACGGGTCTTACCGCCACTCCAGAGGAAAAAATGCGACTTTAAGGGCAACAATTTTACGTTCACGTTGGGAAGACGCATTTTGGATCGTGCACACTTCTTAGTTCGATTTACTCGTGGCTATGAATGTATAATTTGTGTAATTATGTTATAATTATATTCCGTCGATAGAAATCGTGTGACCGGGTTTAAGGTTTAATGAACACTGCTGATATACATATTTCGTTCTACCACTTGAAAAATCGTTATCGTTTTCGCGTCAAGATAATATATTATTAACGGCATTTTTACTATTTTTAATGTTTTTAAATGAATTACTAACTTGCAGGTGAAGTGCATTTAAGTATATGGAATACCCAAATACATCGAATATATAATCTTTAATAATATTATTATTCATTAAATATTTATATACAAGAGATGTATCGTATATACTAATCGTTAAATGAATAATTAATGTAATGTATAAATAAAATACGATATAATATTGTTCAATAATATCCACTTGAGGACAACTGGATTATTTTACACTGCTTGAGTATAGAAGTGTGAATAGTATTCAGCTTTATTTTTTGTTTAAATAATGATCAGAGTATCAGACATCTATGAATAGACATGAACTCATTGTCATGATATAAGCAAATATATACGTATATCATTTTATTTGATTAGTAATTTATTCATTATCTTGAGAAGTTATATCTTACTCAGTATGGTATATGATAGTATACAACTATACAATAAGTAGTATAAGCTAGTATATAAGATTGACTTTAGCAAATAGGTGGACATCTGGGGAGCTTGGGGGGGGGGAGGTCTAAGGCCCCAAATATTTTATTAGCCCCCGAAAACGAACATCTCTTTTGTATGGGATCAAAGGATTGCCGCTCATATTAATATAAAAATCGTGAGTGTTGCAATAAAATGGCAGATGAAGTGAAATTCCTATACAGCTAGAGGGTATAAAAAAAAGTTCATTAGGGTCAAAAATTAATTTTATAATGGAAAAATAAAAATTTTCAATTGTAATTAATTAATTATTATTATACAAACATAAGACAAATTGATTATTATTTATTATCATTGAAACCTTAGGGTCCAAACAAACGATCGGATTTAGCCATCCAGTTTTTTCATATGTGGAGTTAGACTGTGCAGGTAAACAGACAGTGAAGTTTTTTCAGTTCACCCAGTTCACCGACTCCGGTATATTTACTACACTAAGAAGTACACAGCCACCGGCCAGAAAAATACGATTTTCTAATTCGACCCTTAGTGTCGAGTAAGCCACGCCTCTGAAGCTTTTTGGTCGCAACGGTTGCTGAGTTGATGAATCTGATTTACGCTACCATGCCTAAAGACGTTTTCACTTAAAAAATGTTAGCCCCCCCCTTGAAATTTGAAAGGATTTCCACCTATGCTGCTAAAGGGCTCAAGCACTTAACTTAAAATATAGAATAGTATGTATCCTGTTTTGACACGCTATTTAATAAAAAAAAAATTTTAGTATTTGTGTTATAGCATAGATCTTTAATTCACTCAACAATTTCATCTGAGTCACAAACAATAATATGCATTGTTATTTTATTATTGTTATAATATCCTAGACTAGTGTTGATCGAATTATCAATATTTATTTTGTATTTTGAGATTAGTTATAAATATATTGATTTTACAATAGTGTTTATTTATTTATTGTTCTTTTTGTGTCTGAAGACACTTTCTTTAAATTACGACTACACATTTTCACTTGATTAAAAACCCTTTATATTTTGATATAAAGTACTTCATAAGTTGTTATTATCGAAATTAAAAAATCAATTTAAACATAATTCTATTTTCTATGAATATTATTTATGAGTGTCCGAAGCTTAAAATTGTACAAAATTGTATATTCAAGTATCACTTGTAAAATAACGATTTTCCTATTTTGTTGTAATTCAAAAAAAGAATAATCGTAAACACAAAATTAGCATCTTCTATATATTGTATTCATTTTCAAAATATTTTAGTTTTTTTTCTGTAATATTGATAAAAGAATGTTTACTTGTTGAAAAAGTTTGAAAATTTAATACAAGGGTTTTCACAAATTCTCATATTAGCTATTTTACATATAAAAGATTTTTCTATAAGATAATAATAAAAATAATAATTCGAAGTTTTTGACTGAATTCACAAACATTTTCAAATCATTTTGTAGTTAAAAAAATTATGAAATGTTTTTCATAAATTGTCAACACAACCCTCACATAAGTTAAGGTATTTAATGAATGTTGTATTTGTCTTGATAATTTATTTCTCAATCTCTATGTGAAATGAAATAGACGCTATAAAAATTATTGTCATTAGAATTATAATATCAAATAAATACTATAAATAATATAGATTACTTATATAAAACTATACTAATAATGACACAAGACAATTTAATGATTCGCTGCCAATTATTATTTCAATTATAGTTAAAAAATAATCAAATGTGTCAAAAAAAAATAATATATCGTTTTACAATGTTTAAGTTCAAATAATAATAATTAATGATAATTAAATGGCTTATAAAATGTAAGATAAGTTAATTTAATCACATGTAAGTAATTATACGTAATCCAAGAAAAATAGGCAAAATGTAACTACAATAAATTTACAAAAGTAGTAACATGAGATTTTATGTAGTTATTAAATTTGTAATATTTTTGTTTAAAATGTCCTTTTTAGCCTATACTGAATATCAAAATATTCCTATCTTATAGTTTTTCAAATTAGTACCTACTCGAAAATCCATAAATCATATTGTTTTCTCGCCTGTGTGTTTTTAACATAACATTTAGCATAAATTGCTTGTTAAAATCGTCGTCTAACGATATGCATATTAATATATAATTATAATTTATAAGTATATAATCGTATTATAGTCTGTAGCAGTCTTGTGAAGACGTTTATATAGCAGAAAATGAATTTCTAATACTTGTAACCATTATTTTAGACCGATAATATTATTTTCCCATTATAACGTACGTAATAGCTGCTGAGCTGTGTAAACAATATTTTAGACTTGTTGTGTAACATAAATCTAATACAATGTCAATCACTTGTAATAAATAATAATTATCTATGTTTACAAATGATTTAGTTTGTGAGGACCTTTATGCGGTCTCTGTTTGCACAGTGAGAAATTTAGAAAAGCCACCTTCATCCGTATCACGCTGTTGCTATTATAATATTCAATACAATGCTCAGTTTACTGATAGCACAGTACAATATTCGTAGATATAACTTAAACCTTGTGCTTTTGTGTGTTTTTTATAATTATATTAAAATACGAAAAGTAATTTCTAGTTTCGAGTTGTTCGACTTTTTTTACATCATACACGACCAGTTCTTAATTTATTATCAAATAAACACTATTTAATAGGCAATAATAGCTCAATGCATATCTGATAAAATAGTCATTAGGTATAATAGTATTAATATATATTGACATTATATTTAATAATACTTAACAGTGTAATTGGATTTTCAATAATTTTTATCATCTACAAGTGTTTGTGACAATTTTTGTTGAAAACAATTTATAATTATTATCGTTTGTTATTATTAAAAATTAATGTTGTATATACAATTTATTATTAACGACTTAAAATATTATAGTGATATAATTATAATGATAAAATTAAATTAATAAAATTAAAAAAATATTTTGTTTTTCATTGAAATATAATAAATACTGGAAAGGTATTTCCGTTTACAGTCGTGTTAGTAGGTAGGTATTATATTATATTATATTCGTGGCACTAGAGTCAAATAAGTTTTTAGGGAGAGGTGGAGGCGATTTCTTTTGTTGTATTCTCGTCCGTGGTTTCATTTTCTCTGGGTCTACTCGTTCGCACTATAAGTTGGTTGACGGATACTTGAATTAGAAACACGGAAAATGCCACGTAACTTAATAGCCGGAAAGAAGCCGAGCTTCCTATCTGTTCGAACGAGTAACCCGCCATAAACGAACCAAATGATATACCTGAAACAAAAATAAGAACAAAAATTATTTTGAAAAAAAATGATTATGTCAACTTACAAAATATTCTACAATAGCCAAACGAGTCATGTTTAAAGAACAACTTAATAAAATGTACAAATACAGGCGAAGATTTATTCAAAATCCCCGGCTTATTTATTTATTTTTTAAACTTCACATTTTTATAAGCAAACCAATTCATAAGACCCTGTCTGTATTTTAAATATTTTTTGCCTTTTCATATTCAATACAAATATTTCTGTAACTACAAATCAAGAATTTGCTTAACTATTTTTGAATGTTTAAATATGCCACTGGGCATGTACTGTGTGCAATGTTGTAATAGTGTAAAAATATCACGGACGCTATTCCGAAATTCCAGTTTAGTTTCAGATTCAACCACTATACCGTTCAATAACTTCTAAGGATCACGGAACACATCAACTCTGCGTTTGAAATGCACTGTCACACTGGCGCAATATTTATTGACATTTCAAAGGCGTTTGACAAAGTGTGGCATGAAGGCCTCCTTTTTAAACTACGTAACATTAATACTCCATCATATCTTTTAAATATAATTCACTCATTCCTCTCAAATAGACAATACTCAGTCATAATTAACGACAGTGCTTCTAACCTTAAGTGTATCTCTGCTGGTGTACCTCAAGTTCCAAACTTGGTCCTATTTTATTCAACCTATAGGTACGTTTCCGACATCCCTCAATCATCACGCCGCACACAAATTGCTCTCTTCGCTGATGATACAGCTATCTTCACGGAATCACGCAACATCGAAGCAATAACTAAAAATCTGCAAGATCACTTAAATACCCTTTCACACTGGTGTCAAAACTGGAGGATCAAAATCAGCGCCTCGAAGAGTATAGTAGTTATTTTTAGTCTACGTCGCTATATTACTCCCCCACAAATAAAATTTGGCAGTGAAAATATACCCTGGCCACCGACGGTTAAATACCTAGGTGTAACTCTTGACAAACGACTCAAGTGGCGGCCCTACATTTCATCCAAAGTCCAGCAAATATACCAGCGCATCTCAATGCTTTATCCCATCCTGAACAAAAATTCAAAGATACAATAAAAATGCTCTCTCCTAATTATTTTTAAACAAATTATACCCCCAATTCTTACCTACGCTTGCCCGATATGGAGTAATTGTGCATCCTCTCACATAAAAAATGCAAATTGTCCAAAACAAAGTCCTCAGAATAATTGCAAATGCCCCAGGGTTTGTCAGAAATGCAAATCTCCACAAAGACTTTCAAATCCAAGAAATCCAAGATCATATTAAAACATTAGCAAAAAATTTCTCACGCTCTCTTCCAAACTCATCAGGTGCAGTTCACTTTAACCTTCTCACTCACTCAACCCATCGTTGATTAAAACGAGGTCGTCCCCACGACCTCCTACACTAAGCCACCTCTCAACATCCAAATCTTCACTCTACACATGCGCTTCTTCCAGATTATTCTACGACTTCTCTGTACTTATAGTTATACTATTGTAAATATGTAAATATTAGTATGTTATTGTAATCACATTGTTACTTCTGCATATTTTAAAATTACCAATTGTTAATATTATCCTTAGTACTTATATAAATATTTTTAAATATCACGTTAATCCGTTAAGCTGTTATGTAAACTGTCAAATATACCTAGATATAGATAGTTTTAGGCTAGGAATGTCTTACGTTTAATAAAAAAATAAAAATAGTGTTAAAGTAAAATTTTAGATTCTGGACCGTGTGTATTTTTGTCTATAATTTTCTTTTGGTGCAGTAAAAATGCTTCGATTTTAAACTTGGGATGGAGGGCGATTTCTGAAATATAGTTGGATCTAGTAAGTACTTCAAGGAGATCAAAAGTACAAAATTCCTATTATTTTTCAAAATGATAATGAAAATCAAAAAAATATTGTTTTTTGGTGTATCTATATGAATTTTTTTTTATATCTAATATTGTAAAATTGAATACAAGATTCCTTATAAGTTCGTCTATCTTTAAAAAAAATTTCTATCGGATTGCCAAATTAAATATTTACAATATTGGTTATTCACTCGATTTCTCATGTAGGGATTTTCTTATTTTGTTGTAATTCAAAAACAAATAATTGCAGATACAAAATAGATATTTGTTGGATCAAAAAGCTTGAAAATTGAATGCGAGGCTCCTTGTATATTGTTAAAATATCAGTTAAAAAATATTAAAAATACAAATGTATGATTTTTGTTTTATAAACATTTAAAGTTTGAATTTTGACAAAATTTATAAATGATTTTGTTGTTACAACTATTATAGCTAAGGATTGAAAACTTAAAACGAGGTTCCACGTAATTATTTAATTCTGTAACCAAAAAATCTAAAAACATACATTGATATAGTTTTTTTTTGTTATTTTACTATTTAAATTTTGAAAAAATTACATATTTACACAAAGAATAATGATTTTAGTCATTTTGTTGTAACTTTAAAATGTATATGAACATTTATTGACTATATCATTGTATTTTATACATCTAATGAAACTTTCTAATGGTTTTTTTTAGCAAATGAAGCTAATCTACAAATTCCTAAAAGTAAAATTAATTACTTTGATCAGAATAATATCATAAAATACTATGTAATATACCAATAATACCACAGGTTAGTAGAGCGTCTTCGCCCAGAATCGTTTTTTGTAGGTATACAATGATTTTATACCATTGAATTCAAATTTAACATCATCCCTTACAGTGGCCCACGTGTAACCTACAGTACAGCAGAGCAACAATTACTTCCCCAATTTTTTAAAAATGATTTCTAATACAAACATTGCAAATTCATATTTAGTGATTTCTATATAATAAAGTATCATCGTGGCCGATTTTTATTATAAATGTGTGAACACGGTTGTACTTGTATGAATTGTAGTTTGACGCAGACACCGTTAACCACACACTTTTTGAGTGCCAGTATTGGAGCGGTCTAAGGGAGGATCTTGGCGGGCGCCTAGGCCACCCTCCAGCTCTTGAGGATATGTCGGCCATTCTCTGCGGCCCTGCTTTCGAGGACTTACCGTTGGATCACTCAGTGAAGGCCAATGTTCTTTACAACGCGGAGGAGACGTTTTTACAAGATGGTTGAAGAGATCCTGACTCTCAAAGAAGAGGAAGAGAGGGCCAGACAGGCAGATGAAGCCTAAAAGTTGTGAAGTGACGGACGGAGGACCCCTAACAGGGGGCGATCTGGAACGTGATGTCAAGGGTGGTGTAAACCGGCTCGGCGGCTCATCAAATATGATAGTATTTGATAATAATGTACTTATGTTTGTAATTATTCATTCTTTTTAGTGCATAATAAACGATGGCGACGCTGTCGACGTAATGCGCAAGCAGTTCCGGCAGCGTCGTCGATAACAAGAAGAAAAAAAAAGGTATAATATATACGCTTATTTCGGTGTGCCGATTCCTAACGATGATTAATTATCGACGATTATTTTAATCGTAATTTAATTTTTTACAAGGAGATGCTAATTAATTTTAACAGTACTCACCTATTCCGTGAAAAGCCATGCCAAATAGGCCTTGGAGAGTGCCTGCGCTGCCACTCGGTGCTATTTCGGCGGCGTATGAAATGCCAGAAATAAAGGCCAAGGTGAACGATATACCATTGGATAGTTCGACCGGCAATACCCACAACGGATCTTTGATGATCGAATAGAGGAAAAATCTCATTGCAAATATTGCGAACGATACCGAGAAAGCCGTCATGTGTCCAATTTTTTTCAGTATGTATCCTGCAGTATATAATAATATGACAACAAGTACATAAATTTAACTTGACAATGATCATACATTTTTTTGCTAAAATCTGTACATTTTATTTCTACTGCAGACAGTGGCGTGTAACATCGGGTCTAAGTGTTGCTAAGGCAACACCTTAAATATGGGTGGGTGGGTATTAATAAAAGAAAAATAGGACATTTTATAGGTTGGTATAACAGTATAATGAGGGGTAGGTCACCAACAATTATTAGAGCAACACCTATTTTTTTTATAATACACGCCACTGACTGCAGATCAATATAAAACTCAAATAATTGTACAGCGCAAAATATTGTTTTGGTGTTAAAATAGATAATAAATTATTTGATAGGATAGGCGTTTTGCACTCACGCGAAATCGATTTTTTATAGTTTTTTAATTATCTTAGAAAAAAATTACACATTATAAAAATTATAGAAAGATTAGAGGGGGAAACTTGTTAGGTAAATTGTTTTGACCAAAATTATATGTCAAATCCTCGAAAATATTACTTTATAATTTATTATATGTGTATAATGTATTATATGTATATATTATTTAAAAATTACTAAAAAACCATAAAAATATAAAATACCATTTCGCACAAATAGTGAACACCAATACGTTTTCTAAATTGGGTATAGGTCAGAGGCAGACAACAATATATGTGTTAATATCCTGAAAACAGTCAGATTTTACCTACCCACTGGACTGGCAACTGATAAGTATTATCAATCATATAAATCTAGTATCTGATATGTATAAAATAAACTATCCAATTATATAATAAGTTTTTATTTGTTGTGTATGTATGATAAGCGACATTAACTGTTATGTTTGATTGTTGAATAACATTGGTAATAATTGTAAAGTGCTTTTGTAATGAAAAACATTCATATAATTTTAACATGCACTCTACTTCATTGTGTTTATTAACAAAAATACATTTTTGCTAGTTAATTAATCAGATCCCATTTAATAGTTTAGTAACGTATTGTAACGTATACAGTGTGTTTCTTTTTGAAGGCAACACTAAATAATTCTGTCCAGTGACATCAGATTAATATGCGGTTTTCGGGAAGAGATGGGGAATACATAAATACACATTTCTTGATGATTTTTAGATCTTTCCGTGTGCGAATGTGCAATACCACTTGCATTTTTTTAAATGGTAACAGGTGTTTAGAATACCAAATTCAGATAGATCTAATTTTTTTAAGTCAATTTGGTCCTTTTTACCACAGCTCTCAAATCAAAATTGACTAAATGACAACTAGTTAAAATTTCGATTAAAATTTGAATTTTTTAACAATCGTACTAAAATTTTATGAATTTTTATGAAATTTCAAGAATTTTTTTTGTATTCGTAGGCTTGAAGACATTATTAAATCATTTAAATTTAATTTTGAGGAATCGATTAACATAAATTGACGTAAATGTTCAATTTACTAAGAAAAGATTAAACAAACTGATATGATTTATTTCTCATAACTTCTATTATTAAAGTTTCAATTTCAATTATTAATTTTATGATTGTCATTCTTTGTGATACAAGTGGGTAATTATTTGTAATCTTAATGATTATTTTATTTGTAGTCATTCCTAATGTAAACCAAATTTACTAGAATACTTGAAATTTCATTAAGCATAAGCTTCTAGTACGATTTTTGAAATATTCAAATTTTAATCGAAATTTTAATTCGTTGTCATTTATTCAATTTTGATTTTAGAGCTGTGGTAAAAAGGACCAAATTGACTTTAAAAAAATAGTTCTATCTGAATTTGGTATTCTAAACACCTGTTGCCATTTTAAAAAATGCAAGTGGTATTGCACATGCGCACACGGAAAGATCTAAAATGTGAAAATCATCATGAAATATATATTTATGTATTCCCTATCTCCTCCCGAAAACCGCATATTAATCTGATGTCACAGGACAGAATTATTTAGTGTTACCCTTAAAAAGAAACACTTTGTATATTGTAATGGGAATTGATGATACGTTGATAAATTATGGACAATTTTTTTTTAAAAATTTAACTATAAGCGTCAAAAATACAACATCTATGAGTTATGATATTAATTTAAATATTATATAGATATAAAATATTTTTTAACACTGATAGATGATACTTAAACTGTTTAGTTTAACTTAATATAAAACAACATCTGTTAAATAATAAAATTAAGTTGCAGAATATAAGTACCGATAGAGCATGTTATGAGTTTATGACATGGTTTAATAATTATGTAATTAAAATATATTAAATTAATTTGTAAATGTTTTCAGATTCATTTTTTAATTGGCTAGGAACTAGAGCAAAAGTGTATAATTATTGATCCAGGATTGATACACGGAAATTTAAAACTATATTTAACTTAGTAGGTAGGTATAGTTAGGTACCTGACATAACATAAAAAGGAATTTCCCCTAAACAACATTCTACTGTCACCGAGAAACCTTGTATAGTTTTGATCCATGGTAATCGTTCTGGATGATAATTGTGTGCTAAGTCTTCAATGTACCTATTGAAATAAAAAAAAGTAGATGTAAGTAAGTGTATTATAATAAATATTTTACAAAAATAGAAAAGTATTTACAGAAATAAATAAAACCAAATGAATGCTGCGAAAATACCGGTAAACACTGCCCACACAAGGTATGCACAGACTTTAACGTCAGATAAAATTTTTATAACATCCTTAGACATGTTTTTGGATGGATGAGTTTGGTTGCTCTGGAAAATAAATTTATATTCATAAATTATGTTAATAGCAACATGTTTAAAAGTCCAATAATAAGGTACGTAGCTTTCCCCCTACCACAAACTACACTTATTTACCTAACTTAAAGCGTTAATTGTTAATTTTAATATAATATTGATGTGTTGTACGCTGTTATATTAACAAATAAACAAACAAATAAAATAAAATAGGTACGCCGCCGCTGCAAGAATATGTTAATTTCAAACTGAGGCTTATCGAAATAATAATTTCAGATTAAACTGTGCTGCTATAAATAAAATAAAAAAAAAAAAAAAAAACTGAAAATAAAAGAAGTAAAGTTGTAGTTCAGTATAGCCAACATTGACCGAATAGTATTATAATTTACAAATGTCATTAAAAAAATAAAAAACTTGTTTAACTTGTTGTATAGGTGCATAAGCATTAACCACAATTTTGATAAAAAAAACTTTTTATTTTATCGTTGGACATTGGACATATTATATGAGACGTATATATATATATATATATATATATATTCTACAGTATGGATGCATCTATACACTTTCATGTGCTACATAGGTATTATTGGGACTTACCTCTAGCTGAGATGCAACAATAAAATGACAGATTAGGAATATCATAGAGATCACATACACTGGCAAGTAGTTTTTGTGCACTGGGTCTTCGCTGTACCAATCCACGCATGCGCCAACCAAAAGTGTAGACATTCCCCAACCAACAGCTCCCCAGACCCGCTGTCTCCCGTAACTCTTTATGTCGTCACCTAGAATACGTGATAATACATTTCATTTTTTAGTTTTTATATACATAACAATTATAATATCGTTAGATTGAGCTTTATGATACATAAAGTGCACCGTGATAAGCGGTAACTGTATTACAGGTATATACGATATATCTGTAGTCAATACCCAAGAGTTCCAAACAGATTGTGTCTTGGAGAACGTCTCCAATCATCCAAAGCAACGCCCTCGTTGTAATTGTGACCAAGAAAATCCAAAATTTCCAATGGGTCATGATGTCCAAGTTTTCAGTGAATCCATATTCTTTAAAGTCGGGCGTGAAGTGTATGAGCATTATAACAAATGCGTTCAACAGCGAAGCACCCAAAAATACTTGTTTGCGACAACGCCAACGGTCGGTAATGTATCCAGTTATTGGTCTTGCGATTATATTGAAAATAGGCATAAACGTAAGGATTATACCTATAACTAGTACAGGTATTCCTCGCTGTTTGGCTATAGTCGGTAAAAATGGATTTATCGGTGCGATTCCTGAAATAAAAGTTTCTAATATATTTGGTTGAAAAAAAATCGTAAGAAATTTTCGATCCCAAAGATTTGACGAGCGTCAGAAAAAAATGCAATATTAATGTATTATGACAATCTGAAGATTAAGACAAATAATTTATTATGCTACACCGCATTTTGAAAATATTGACAAAAGTAATATATGTACCTTGTTATATAACTTTATAGTGGTAACTTGATTTGTTTAAAATAAATTAATGTGTTACAGCATTTCTTATAATTAAAGTAATAGGTTATCGCCAATGTCCAAGGACCGCGGTAGATAATATACGGCACCCGACACCCTAACGTAGGCACATTTTATAATGTATAGATTAATACTGTTAAAATGATGTGTGCAATTTTAATTTTTACATTTTAATTATGAAACAGTTTAACCTTCCTGAATATTTATTTATGCCTGAAGTAGTTGCAAAAAAAAAACAATTTATTCTACCTTTCCCTTACCATCAATACCTGTTTCCAACAAAACAATTTCTATACCATTAGGCATTAATAAATGTACAGTAATTTTTATTTAATCTTACAAATGTTCCTTGAAAAATAAAATGAAAGCTGTTATGCAGAAAGTTAATTGTTGTTCATTTAGAAATAAAATAGGTTTAAGTACAGTATAGTAAGGATTTCTTCAAATCTGCCGGGTACAGTTTATAATATAGTAAACAAAATATGCACTAGCCCTCTAGATAAAAGATCAGTGAATACATTTTCGTTATATTATGAATACAATTTGCATTAATTTACAACGTCAATATTTCTCGGGAAAATTTTTTTAGAATCTTAAATACATATTAGCGTACAATTAAAAAAAAAAAACCATTATTATATATGTATTAATAGTGCCCACCTATAGAAAATATAATATTGGTAGAAACGATTGTTGGTAGAAAAATGAAACAAACACTTTTGTTGAATACTCGTTGTTTATTAATATAAAATAATAGGAATAATAAAAATATCACATTGCCGATAATATACTTCAGCAATTATATTATTTGGTGAATTAACTATTATTTTATAATATCACTGGCTATATCCAATCGTTATGGACCACATTATATTAAATGATGTGCTTTTGAAACACTTGTGTTATTGTTGCGTACGAAAATAAAGTTATTAATTATTAATAATAAATGTTCACAGTAGTTTACTTACCACAATCGTAGAAAAAAAAACTCATTTTTATGAACAACAGGTTTTTGTTTATATTCAATTTGTCAAACATTTCTGACAAGACTAACTTTAATAATTTAATTGTATTATAATAAAATGCTATTCTATAATAAATGTACTGTTTAAATTTGTATAATAGTGATACTATATACCGGCAAATTAATGTAGCGATCGCCAAGAGCAGTTGATGTGAAGTGTTGGCGTGGCAGACGGGAAGATATTGTCTCGCCGCGCCTTAGGTCGTACGGAAGGAACTGATCATGGGCAAACGGCCGTGGTTTCAGTGTGATGTAACGATAAGTATTAAATTATCCGCCAATACGGTCACGATTACTGGTTATAATATCATATAGGCAATAGGCACCGTTTCGCAGGTCTCATTTTAATATTTCGTGTACTTGATGACATAATATTGTAATTGTATATTTGTTTTCAAATGTAGAGTGCGGAATAGCGATACGAACAATTTAAAATCCATGGTTGTAAATCTATTGAAATTATACAATAACAATATACATTATTGTTACACACGACTATTATAATAATTTGTTACAATCCTGGGATAATTCGACTTGCAGTTGTAAGACGAAATAAATAAATACGTGTTTCCACAATTGTAGTTACTTACCCATACCTATATTTACTGTTTAATGTTTATGCATTCCGTCCGTGCCAACCAGCGGTTACGAATGATTTTATTTTCGAGTCGATGAATTAATAAATCAAATTTAAAACTTTTCTATACACTCCTAATACACTATTTCTAGAAATCTTAAGAAATTCAAAATTATCGATGTTCAGTTGATTTTTAATACTTAACTACGAGAACATACTATATAGACACACGGCGTGTTTGAGTCTTACATCCGATGATAATAATTTGCCTATTTTGTACTCCTTAGGTTATAGTTGTTTTTGAATTTTTGAAACTTAGTAAATTACCTCGAATTTAACGTATACAAATATGACTGTTATACTTAATGATGAATAATAATAATAATTCTATAAACATTTAATTTAATTTCGATAATATTGTTACATAAGCATGATTTTTAAATTATGTACCTAAATAAGAGAGCTATTAATAATACAAATTACGATGTAAGTACAATATAATATTATTTTGAGTGATAGCTGACAAGAGCCGGAAGTTAGTTATTTAAGTTGTAGGTGAAGTTGGCGACACGAACCTATTCCGCTTGAAATCCCTCAAACTGTTCAATGTCGCAGACACAAAGGCTCTTTTAAGAATGGAATTGCTCCTCTACTGCCTCCGAAAATGCCTCATTCTATATTATTATAGTAGGTAATAAATAGTGAACTGTTCTTGCTGTTATCAGTACCTAGATTAGCCAAACTATTTCATATGAACAGCATGGGAGTAACCCACTTACCTGTTTTTATTTGATATAAACAGATTGATAAGGTTATGTATATATATATATTTTTTTTAATCTAGAATTTATACAATATGTACATAAAAAAAAGTACAATAGGCATAAATGATGTTTTTATAAATTATAGTATATATGTAGGAGCTTTAATATCCAATATCTTGAGGGATGAACCAACCAGCAAAGGCACTTCGGCGTGAATTCACAAATTATTTAGGATTTTTTTTTTTTTTTTAATATCTTGTGTTTAATTTATTAGATCTCGAGGCCATTGTCGCTTGAGTCTTCTAGGGGGTTCTCCAGGGATGGAGATGGATAGTAACTTTTTAACGTGAGGGTCAGTGTAGTTATGAAGGCGATTTCTGAATTTAGAGTAAAATAGCTTGGTTGTTTCAGTGACTTTATTAATATGGAGATCTTTATGAAGGGTATGATTAGATATATAAGGAGGAGCATTGGTTATGAGTCTGAGGATTTTAGATTGGAACACTTGTATTTTTTGAATATTTGATTTTTTGGCAATGCCCCAGAGCGGTCAGAGCTATGTATATTAATCTGATTTTAACAGTATCCTTTTCGAGAGCTGCTGCACTGCTAACGGAGATTTCCACTTTTCCTACGAGGGTTGAAAAAAAAACCTCGTCGTCTCTACCAAATCGTATGAAACAAAAACTGCGACTTAATGGGCGACAATCTAACTTGAACGTTGGAAAGATTAAGGTTGAATATCGATCTTGAATCTTGATAAATTATTCCTATACTATATCCTTAGGTACATATGAAATGTAAATAGACAAAATAATTTTCACTGAAAATATAATAATACATATTATATAGATCTATTGCATAATATTTACTATACAGTTAACTATACATCTATCCAAAATATAATTTTAGATTTTATGTATAATATAGGTTATCTATTAAAAAAGCTCCGACATCCAGACATCAATAGTATTTAATTTTTAACATAATACGCAAAATTTATGCATCATATTTCGATTATTTCAGATATATTTAAAAATTAATAAGTACATTATAATATCGAGGCCGTAACTTGGAAAACATTTTGGGGTAAAGGGAAATGGAACATTTTTTTAAACATAGATAGTGACACTCATTTTTTTTAAGTTCAAAATATAAAAAATATTTTTTTAATCTAGTTATTACTGATTTTACATAAATATAAAATTATATTTTACTCACTATAGCCAATATTCACAGCTAAAATCATGTTTCTAATTTTTTTTTTAAATCAGGGGATCCAGGGGGTAGACCCCCCACAGTTACGGCCTTGCTTCATATAGCTCACAAATATCTGACAGTGGAGATACGAAATGAGGATCGTGTATGGAACTCTTACATTGATTTGAAGTCATCTTGTTTATGATAAATATTAAATACTTTGTCGATATGTATGTTTTGATCCTCTTATTTATGCAATTAATTTTCTGTTCCGATTTAAAAAGTAATTGACGACTATTTGAATGACACATACTATGAGTGCGATGAAACCGATAAGTCGAAAAGCCATCACGCTGCCTAAATGACTGAATGTGTAACCGGCTAATTTTGAACCCAAAGATCCTCCTGCGAAAGGAATAAATACAATACATATATAATATATATATTATTGTCAGTATAATATATTAATATTATTAGATGATCCGTTTATCATCGCTCGTTCGTTATTTTGAAAAGTTTTTTTGAAAATATTATTTTTCACACAATTCATTTTATGAAGTCATTGCAAAAAGCGTTTTAATTTTAAAGTTTTTTTTTTTTAAATGATAACATACATATTTAATTTCACTCGTTTAAACTTTTCAAAATATTGAATGGTAGATACCGGATCACCGTGTCTGAGTAACTAGAAATTCTATTATAGTATAAAGTGACGAACCGAATCCTTGGAAGGCCATCGAAAACAAGCCTTGGACTGTACCTTCGCTACCAACAGGGGCAATTTTCGCTGAATATGATATTCCAGCAATGTAGCTCAATCCAAACGTGATACCATTTAACAACTCTACAGGCAGCACCCAAAGAGGGTCTCGAATGATCGAATATAAAAGGAATCGCAATGCGAACATGGCGAAGGATATTGAAAAAGCCGTCATATGGCCGGTACGCTTAATCAGGTAACCTAAAATTTAAAACCATGAAAAGAAAACAGCAAATATTTAGTTTTTATGTTTACACATTGTATCATTCATCAATACATACTCAATATAGGTTATGACATATATTTTCTTTAAAAAATAACTTTTGTTTTAAAGATGTTCAACTACTTTTGAGTAAATTCCCTAATTTTTAGTTATGTGTATTATGGCTGCTTATGGATGTCGCTATGATACAATTATACACTTACCAGATAAATAGAAAAATGGAACTTCTCCACCTAAACACTCAATAGTGAGAGAAAATCCTTCGATTGAGCTTAACATCGATTTCCGTTCAGGGTGATAAATTGTTGCCAAATCATCGACATACCTGTAAAGTAGAATACAAATTGCACTAATAATAAATGTCTTAAGATATTCGTTTTTAAAAATAATATGGTGAGTAAAGCACTAAAGCACCATATTTGTTCTTAACTTTGACTTAATATATGTGTAACATTTGAAAAATATATAGCCGTGGTTGAAACAATTAGTTTTAAAAGACATGATCCCTTCCCATCAAGCTCTTAGAATTTTATATTTGAAAACTGACCAATGTTGTTTTGTTACTTTTGAATAGTTACGTAATTGTCTTACGGATATTTAAGGCAATTAAAAAATAATTAAAAATTTTAATCATATTTAATTTTATATTTCAAGTTATATTCATTAAACATTTTTCATTGCCTTATGCACCCCTAACCCTGGTATTTTTAATTGTACAGGTTTTAGTTTTTATATTATACTTGTAGGAATAGGATGATGCGAATCGCCATTTGTAGATCCGTTCTTTCTATTTATTAAAATTGTTTTCTATGCACATTTGTTTGGTGAAAACTTGAATTTGAATATTTAATATTTCTTATATGAGTATAGATGATACACAGTTATGTGTACTTATGAGGCCGTTTCCTATTCTGTTTTAAAATAAATATTTGAGATACTTCCTACTATCTTCTTAGTATTTACGTAACTAAAACGATTAACTTTTGAAACCTAGATAAGTAGATAACGATAGGAATATATTATAAATATGTAATAGACCTAACTTCCTCATAATCGTCGTATTAGTGTACTACGTACTTATGTACCTACTCACGTGCAACAGATTAAAGTGGATGGTTACGGGTGCAATTAAAATATTTTTGTATAGACTTATTATGAAGTCATTATATTACGTATGGAAATATTTACCAGATAAAATAGAACCAGACATACGCCGTGAAGATTCCACCGACCGTTGCCCAAACAAGAAAAACGCATACTTTGGCGTTTTTCAACACTACTCTCACGTCCCCAAGTATGTTTGTCGTCGGTCCGTCAGTTTCGGGTACCTATATTGTATCAAAAACAACCGAAAATGATAGACACGTAGCACAAACTAAAATCAATATATGTTGGTATCCCGTATTTTCCTATTTGGAAGCGTGTTATAGATAGATAATACATTTGTTTATACTGTCGGTTAGGTTATACTGTACAGATTTGTCACAACAGTATTTGTCCTTTTATTTGTTTTTGTTGGTAAAATATATTTTGGAGAAATAGTTATCGACCAATAAAATTTTTAAAAAAAACGTGACATTTTCTGAATAATGAGAAACAAAAATATCAAAAACCATATCTTTTTAATAGTTGAATAAAGCCGCTACTAACCGATATTTGATAATCGTTTTCGTTTACCACAAGTTTATAACTAATAGTCAAGTAATACAATATTTTAGTTTTTTCGATGATTACCGTAACATTTTATCTTTGATTATATTACTACTACGGTATACCTACCGGAATATTATAAATTTATGTAGGGGTAAATTTAGAAAAATCAAATTTTCACACATCGGGTTATGATTAAAACATTTTATACTGTTTTAGATTAGCTTAATCCCAAATAAGATACACGTCTTACGTTTCGATGTTCATACAGTGGACTAAGAGAAACTCGTGACTATTATATTATATAATGTGGTTAAATATTAGGATCAAAAATTGAAAAATTACACTACTTATGAGTTCACTCTTTAAAACTATGACAGCTATATAGTCTATACTCAATAATAATGTACAGGTCTACAAAGATTTTACTGTTTAAAATTTAATAACTGATTTCTATGTATTTTTTGACACTGATTTCAAAAATATTACAATTTTTTGTCTATCACTTAAAGGTCTAAAGTTATCCCGTTATTACCAATTAACATTATGCACAAATAGCCTACGAACAGTTAATTCTTTATTATATGTTATCGTTACGATATTAATACTAGGGATAGGCCGATACTAGAACCGATACTAGATATCGGTGATATCGATTTTATCGGTATCGGTTTTTTTTCAAAACCGATATTTCAACCGATACCAAAAAAAAAAAAAAATGCACAGATTAGGTTATCAATAATCAAATACTATAGATTATTGACAGGACCACGGTCTTGGAATAATGGACAGGACTGTCGTTGTTATCACATTACAATAACCACAATACAATAGTTAGATAACAATTATCTATATCTAGTCGTAGTGTCGAAAAACGAGATACGAGATTACAAAATATTAAATAGTGAATACTAGTCTACAACTGTTTATTTAGTATTTTTATTAATCATTATTAAATTTAATAATTATTTTTATTTACTAGTTTTATATAATACCTAGCGTAGTAGTTACTAAAAATAAACTAACATGTGATAACTCTTAAATAATAATTATCAATTTATTACCACTAATAAATAATAATCAATGTTTTCACTTTTCTAGGTAATATTATTTGTGTTATCGGGTATCGGTTTTATTATATCGGTTGATGGTATCGGTTTTATGGTGGTATCGGTTCATTCGGTTCATGTTTTTTTTGTCAAAAATGTTGTTTTAACATTTCCATATATTATCGGGTATCGGTTTTATATCGGCAGCATATATCGGAATATCGGATATCGGTAATAAGTGGTATCGGCCCATCCCTAATTAATACATAGTTACAATTGACAACCATGGTTTTTATATTAGGTAGGTATATCTGTATATTCGACTATACGAGATCGTCAATTAGGAAAAAACTGATAAAATAAGCTCGGAGGTAAATGTGTTTATTTTAACTTTATTTTTATCATTTAGTGTCACAGTTTCAATAGTAAGTATATATATTATTGTCAGTATTCTATTAGAAATATTTTATTAAATATAATATAATAAAATATATTATAAACATATAGTCCAGACATTTTTTGTTTTATTTGTGGCGATTTTATGGTGAAGAAACAAATTCAAAACATCAATCCTTTCGTGAAAAATGCATATTATGCATATTTTGGAATAAAAATTGGAGACCAGGATAAATCATGAACACCTCATAAAGTTTGTAAAATTTGCGTCGAAGACCTTAGAAATTGGACTAAAGGTAAGAAGAAAGCTTTATGTTTCGGAATACCAATGGTTTGCCGTGAACCTAAAAATCATAGTGATGATTGTTATTTTTGTTCATTTAATGTACAAGGATTTAATATAAAAAATAAGAAAAATATTATCTATCCCGATAACATTCGATCTGCTATAAGACCCATGCCCCATGGACCTACTATACCCATACATTTACCTCCAGTCAATCTTGATACTATTTTAACATCTGAATCCAGTGATATTGATTCGAATAATTCTGATTATTTTGAAGAATCTTGTAATACACCTCAACTTTTCACACAGAGTGAATTAAATGACCTTATAAGGGATTTGGATCTTCCAAAAGATGCTCAGAACTTTTAGCTTCGAGACTTCGTAATAAAAACTTATTAGCACCAGGCACGTTGTCATCTTTTTATAGAAATCGTGAACATGAGTAGTTTCAATATTTTACTCAAGATGAATCATTAGTATATTGTAACAATATTCCCAAGTTGATTAATAAATTAGGAAATATTGAATATAATAAAAATGAATGGCGACTGTTTATTGATTCAAGCAAACGAAGTTTAAAAGGAGTTTTACTACATAATGGCAATTTTTTAGCATCTGTGCCAGTAGCCCATTCAGTATCTCTTAAAGAAACTTACGATAACCTAAAGTTTGTTCTAGAAAAAAAAAATATTTAGAACACAAATTTTCGATTTGTGGAGATTTAAAAAATAATATGTATATTACTTGGTCAACAACATGGGTATACAAAATTTCCGTGTTACATTTGTGAGTGGGATAGTCGAGCGCGTGACAAACATCGGACTCAAAGACAATGGCCTTTAAGAAATAATCTTATCGTAGGAGATAAAAATATATTACGAAGTAATTTAGTCGACCCCAAAAATATTTTATTACCACCGTTACACATAAAACTGGGTCTAATGAAACAATTTGTAAAAGCATTAGATAAAAATAAAAATTGTTTTCAATATTTATGCATACAATTTCCACAACTTTCCGAAGCTAAGCTCAAAGAGGGTATTTTTGTAGGCCCACAAATAAGAACATTATGCAAAGACAATGCATTTTTAAATTCGATGACAACTATTGAAAAAAATGCTTGGATTTCATTTAAGGAAGTAATTAACAATTTTTTTGAAAATATTAAAAGTGAAAATTACGAAACCATAGTAAATTCTATGTTAGAAAACTATCGTATCTCGGGCTGTAACATGAGTATCAAAATGCATTTTCTATATTCACATTTGGAAAAATTACTGGAAAATTTGGGAGACTTAAGCGAGGAACAAGGCGAAAGATTTCACCAGGATATAAAAGAAATGGAGAGACGCTACCAAGGGCGTTGGAGTGTTTCCATGATGGCTGACTATTGTTGGATGTTGCAACGTGAAACTCACTATGTATATAAAAGAAAATCGACTAAACGAAATTTTTTTTCAAAGAGGCAAAGATATTCTTCAAATACGAAGTAATATTAATGTAAAAATTGTATTAGTTGTTTAAAATAGTTATGTAAATATGTAATCTTTATTATTTTAAATTAAAATTTTTTTTTGTTAATATGCTACATTTCATTCATAAATTGTAAAAAACTGTGACGTGGTATGACCAAATAGTTAATATATTTAAATTTGGTGAACATATTTTAAATAAAACCAGTTATTAGAAACAGGACAGCTTTTAAAAATATTTTTTTTGTATACCTATATATATATAATCATTGATCACACTATCATATAATTTGGCTTTATGTTTGAGATTGTCTAAAATTCGGCATTATGTAAAAACTTAACTATATTGTTGTAAGATTATACGCAGATATACCTTTAAGTTGAATGCCACCACGAAATCTACGAAAAACGAGGCCGCCGAGAGCAAATATCCGGGCAAATGGTTCTTTTGTGCTAAGCCACTGCTGTACCAATCAATGGCACTCCCCGCCACCAAAGACATGGTGCCCCATCCAGCTGCACCCCAGAGCCGCTGCATTCCAAACTTGACGGTATCTCCGCCTGGAAAAAAAACATCAATAATTATCAATATAATATATATTATTTCTTGTTTATGGACTACTTATTCAAAATAATAATAATATATCATATAATACTGTATTCAACGCATTGCCGAAATAAATTATGTGTTGACATCGATACTAGGAAAAAAAATCCACGGACTAAAAAACTAATGGAAACAAAATCTATGAAAAGAAAGCCAAAAAAACTCTACTTTGTACCATTCTCCTACTAACCCGGTAGGTTAGGTAATATCTTAAAAAATTACTTAAACTAATTATAGTAGGTAATTGAGTTTTATTTTTTTATTCGAAGTAATTTAGGTAAAATAAGAAACCGAAGATTTTGATCAGAGTGAATAAGAAATAGTATAGGTATTCTTTTGAAATTGGTGTAATTTATATAATTACTAAAAAAAACCTTATAATTAATAAGATCTATTTACCCTTGATTTATGCCATCAGTCACGGTTATTTATGGTTTTAGATTCTATCAAATTTTTAAGAACTTTACTTCGTTTGTACGTTTGATCTTGTAATTTGGCATCCCCCGGAATGTCTTTCCCCTCTCACTCAAATTACCTCGCAATCACTTCCCATACCAAGGAACTGGAATTAATTACTATAGGTACATATAAATTATTATTAATCGTGGCCGTGCCTAGGATTCCCATGCATATGGTCTCCTGCAAGACTTCGCCAATCATGAACAAGATCATCCTCAGCATGACGACGATCGAGAACCACCAGAAATACAGCGAGCCATAGGTCTCGGTGTCCGGTATCTCGCCGACCGACGACGTAGCGCCCGGCACGAGGTACAGCGTGGGAGTTATAAGACCGTTGAGAAGGATCACGCCAAGGAACACGGTTCGCCGACACTTCCATCTGTCGGTAACGTAGCCGGTCAGCGGTTTGACCACGATGTTCAGCAGTAACAGTAACGTGAAAATGTTGCCGACCACCGACGGCGAGTAGCCCCGCTGCTTGGCGATCGTCGACAGGAATGGGTTGATGGGCGAATTTCCTGGAAAAACCAACACATTCGAGAGTACAATACGAATATTATTATAATTTTAAAACGAGTGCTCTCGTCGCGCATCAAAGCGAATTCTGCAGTGGCATAAAATAAAAATATTATTTTGGACGGTCGAGTCGAACCATACCGATTGATACCGATTATATTATAATAAATATTATATCGAATATATTTTATACCATACGGTAAGTTGATTAGTTGAAAAGTCAGTAAACTTTTTTTTTGTACCTACCTACTACCTAAATCATGGTAAGATATTGGCCATTAGTCATATAATTTAGAACAAATTACATTGAAAAAACTGCGCTAAAAAATTTGAACTACATTGTAGATAACATTTTGGATGTAAGTGCATCCTAAACGAGTCTGCGCCGATATGGTTGTAGTTCGGCGAAACTTTGGAACGCAAGAAATATACCGAAGACGTGGTAGTTGATAGCATATTCATTAGGCATCGCTCTCTCTCTCTATATATAATATTATATTAATGCGCTCTCAGTCATGTCAGCAGAGCCCAACGCCGTTTCAAATCGAAATTAAATTAAACGAAATAAATAAATTACTAGCGGAATTAATGAATACAAAACCTACCTGCATCGAAAAGAAAATAATGCGCCTTTATGGGCAACAGATCTGTGTTTATGTTTAAAAATCCCATCGCGCCCGATTTATCTTTCCGTACATAGACGAAGACGATCACGGGCCCTCGGAACAATGCATGTGACTGCCATCGCGGACCGTGATTTCGCGACGTTTCAAAACATTAAACTTCAGCAATATTTTAATACGTTATATTTATCGTATGGTGCATACACTTATATAAAATCCATAACAAAAAATCAGTAAAATAGTGTACAGAGATTGTGTGGGATTAACCCATACACTAAATATACATATTATACAGTACGATAATACTTCGTATGGGTATACCTATTATTTGTTTACATAGCGAATAAATGTAAAACCATTGTCTATACAATATTTCAATTGAGTACTCAACAAGACATCGTCTATAATATTTTAATCCATCTAATGTTAACATTGTGTTAGATAGCTAATTTTAAAGGCTGGTGATTTGTTCACAATAATATGATGTTTTCAGCTTAATCATTAATCAGAATACCAAACATTATCGTACTTCTGACTAATTTTATCGGTTTGGTTGTTATTGAGTTTAACAAGTTGACTGAAGTGAGAGTTTTTTGAAATCTCGCAGAACTTTAACTCTCTGCCACTGGTTTGTTTCGAAAACTTACATTAAATGATTGGGTGTTTTTTTAAGTCTTTGACTTCAAAATTGTATATAATATACAATATTAGCATATAATTGAAGATTTTTTTTGGTTTTTGGATTTTTAAAAGGCAACATTCTGAATAGGGTCTCTAGAACTCTAAATTAATTTTTTGATCATTATCAAAATATCCCTTATACTGAGATCCCAAATGAAATCTCAAAATTATTCTTAACCTACTTAAAATGTAACAATACATACATTTATTAATTTAATCATGGTAGTACACAATTAATCTTAAAATAGTATCAAGTGTTCAAAATAATTTTAATGACTTAACAATATAGAAAAATATAACAATATTTTTTAGACATGTGTAAATTCAACAGAGTAGTATACAATTTGAAAATTGAAATGAATTACTTATAAAGTTATAACTTATAACAATCATTTGAGTTCACTTTACCCTGCTTTTTAGTAACTAAGTTTCAAAATAATTGACATAACATAACAAATATACTATAGACATTTTATAATTTCAATATAGTAGTATACAATTTGATAATTAAGGATTACCACGACAAAATAAATTTGTTTGTGTAAAGTTTACTTAAATAAAGATACCTAAATAAATTTGTTTGTGTAAACCAGTGGTGCAACCTTTTTGATCCACGACCCCCAAAATTATTTATTTTGGTAATACGACCCCTTCCTACAAACATTATGTAAGTGTGTAATATATATTTACTTCATAGTTTTAATGTATACAAACATATTATTCATATAAATTAAAACGTTAACTTCAATATTTCTTACAAAATTAGAGTTATATATAGAATCTAAAATTAAAAAACTACTGAAATTATTATAGTGATAAACAACATTTTAATATTTTTAAATGATGAAATTGCTAATAAATTATTTTAATGAGAAACCTGAGCTTGCATTGTAGACATGATTGATTCTGTGTTTGGTTTGATATTTGACACTACTACTCTTAAATCAGCTTCAACATTTAATGTGAAGCGATATTTATTTTAAACTATCGCAATTGACACACACATTGACCAGGGAATAGCAATATATAAGTTTTTCATTTAGTGTAATTGGCGACCCCCTAATAAAATTTCACAACCCCCAGGTTGCACACCACTGGTGTAAACGATTGCGATTACGATTCACGCATAGCTAAATAACTAGTTATGATAGCAACCTTGTGATACACAGGTTCATGACCATGGTTTCACGTTTATAATATCATGATATTTTTTTTTTTTTTTTATTGATCTAAAGAACATCAAATATGGTTAATATTTGTAGGGGGAGACGATTGATTTGAAACACTTATTTGTATATGTGGCAAGGATGTGTTGCTAAAAACCCGGGTGGTCATCCATCCGAGTCCTAGCAACGACGGTCGGTACGTACCCTCGGAGCATTGCCACAGAATGAGCTTATGAACGCGCCTCAAAAGGAAACTATTATAATACTGTACTTGTATTGTCAACAAGTATCAACATCAATGAACGTGGTTTACTATAAAAAAATGTTCGATGTGCCATAATTCCTCAACAATAAATATTTCTCGTTTAGTATCTAATATCAAACATTTTAAAATTTATATATTTTTTATAAAAGCGCTATTGACACTTGTTGATAACCAATTATACACAAATTAAAATTTTTTTTGATTTTTTATGTGAATATATTTCCAATATTAAAAATTATGTTGTAATTTGAGCGTAAGCTTTAATAACAAAAGTTTAATTTTGTCAGGTTTTTCTGTTACACTCGACACTGTAAGTATTTAACGAATTTTATTTACAAATGTTTACACCAGAAACGCCCTGCAGTTGTGCCGACTATGAATATTTTAAATTATAACACAATATTGTTTTTATAAATTGTTTTAAATTTACTTGCGCGTAGGTGCTAAGCTACATATAAATACATATTACAAATATCAAAACTATTGTATCAAATTATATCAATCACAATATTAGATATAATTAGAGAGTTGTAGGTAAGGTACTTATTAGCTATGCCTGTAGACAACATAGTAAACAATACAATTAATATAAGATTTAGTGTTATTTTGTTTATATAATTCAATTTAAGTGCTGATATTTGTCATTTACAGTTATTGGTACATATATATTATGTAAAAATTAGCGTATTATTATATAAGATTATCATTAACACTTATATGAGGATCAACGGTAAAATAACTAGAACCAGACCTTTCTCCTTTGATACTGTCATTTTTAGAAAAACGATTTATCAATCGTTGAACTATAATTTGAGTTATACATACTGCTAATGCAAAACCACTTACGAAGGTGTAAGAAGTAATACTTCCGAAATGATTAAACAGGTAACCGCCGATGGAACTACCGATGGGCGCCCCTATAACAAAATCATTTGTTTATGGCCTAAAAATTGAAATATTATACTCAGTTTTCGACGATACACCATTCCATACCTATTTCTTCCATAGTTGTTCCAACGATACCTTGAAGAGTTCCCTCGGCACCGACAGGAGCTAATTCTGCTGCGTACGAAATGGCAGCAGCGTAGGCTAATGCGTACGTTATCCCATTGAGTAGTTCAACCGGTAATACCCAAACAGGATTTGTAATTATTGAATACAGGTAGAACCTGACAGCGTATGCAAAGAACATCAAAGAGAACACGTTCGTATGACCAATACGTTTGAGGATAAAATCTGTACCGAGAAAAATATTATTGTAATACGTGCATCGATGTCGACGATAACGACTTTACGCATATATATTTACTGGACAGGAAGAAAAATGGAACTTCTCCGCCCAAACATTGGATGGTCAACGAAAACCCTTGGATAGTCTTTATGTATGGTTTTGTTTCGGGGTGGTAAATGTTCGAAATGTCTTCCATGTACCTACAATTTTAAAATAAAAAATATTATAAATTCGAATGAAATCATATTGAAACCGACGAGTCCATAAGTTTGTATCAGCTGAGCAAATCCTATTTTCGTTGTACAACTTACCAAAACAAATAATACCATATAAATGGTAGCAGTGTTCCAAATGCCAAAACAAATAAAAGAAATGATTGTACTCTAATGTTCGTCAATACCCTTTTAATGTCGTTTGATCCAGCTTTAACTTCCCTGTTTTGGACATACTATAAAACATTTAATAATTTTGTAGTTCATTGAATGGAGCCTGGAGGTGAGATGAGTTTATACTATAGTCTTTAAGTCTTAGAAAAATTTGTTATAATGACAATTACTGAATTACATGTAAATCATGTAATTACGTGGTACAGCTACGTAGTAGATACGGCACTTTTTTTAAAGCAATCACACGCCATTAATAATATTGAATCAGTTTTTCTAATTTGTCATTATTACAATTTTGAATAACAACAAATGCAAAATTGAGTTGTTTTAAGAAATACATTAATAATTTATATATTTACAGGCATGCTTGATACGACGTATATATCTAAAATACTACATATCAATGAAATAATGAAACCAGGTGTATAGTTTTTGTGGTCTAATCCTTTACTGTACCAGTCTACACATACACCAGATACGATGGACATTATGCCCCAACCAATTGAGCCCCACATTCTCTGATTGCCGTATTCAGTTTTGTTTTCACCTAAATATAGAAAAAAATAATGATGTAATTGAGAATTGTCACCAAACAAGTGGATCGCAATTAGAAAAAAAAATGTTTATGTCAATTTTAAGCTAATATAGCAGGTGTCTCATAATTATATACATTTCCTAAATTGATGGAATAAAATAATGTGAAATCAATATTCAATAGCAAATGTCACATGCTTTTAATGTAAAATTGTATTTTGTTATTTGATCACATTATTAAATTATGTTCATAATACATTAATACCAAATACATAAAAAATGGTTTGGTAAGAATATCGTATTTCATAGCAATTTCTAATGAAAAATAAACAACTAACAGCATAAATAAAAGCTTTGTAATAATTACCTCAGATATTTAGACGAAATTAATTTTAGAACGAGAGGAGACTTGTAAAGGACACAATAGAAGACTTAAAATATAAATTATGTATTATGTATGTATTTTTGGTGCAGTAAAATATTTTTTTAATAGCTAATATAAATATAATTTATTTTCTAGACACAGTCTAGAATCTGTTAGGAACCATTAATAATAAGAGAACTAATACGACTAAACATTTAAAAGCCACATTTTTAGCCCTAGATCATGTGAACAAATTTTTTTCTATAATTATGGTGCATATTATTTGATACTTTTTATCTTGCTGTTTAACTGACAGAAGAGGAGGCTCTGTTTAAAAAATACTACTCCTCAAATTATTTAATACTTAAGTCTATTAATTGTATAAATAGCTTTAATTTAATTAGCCTTATTAATATTATATTAGAATATTCTACGGTAGAGCCGAGATTTTATTGATCCTACAATAATGTACATATATTTTTTTTCTGTCTGAAGACACTTTTTTGTAGAAAAAATTCTCTAATCTCCAACTTTGGTGGAAATACATAATAACGTATAAATGACAATTTGTTATTATTATAAACTGTCTTATTTGGATGCAGTTAACAAGCAGCTAGTCGAAAGAACAATAATATTAGAAAATATTACCTAATATATCGATGCATATTGTGTCTTCCAAAACAGTTCCTGTCATACTATCTACTTTGTATAAAGTGACAGTGCAAACAAATAACCAAAATATAGGTGACTTGATTACATCCGTGTCATTCAATTCTGCTCTGACGACCGAGCCCGGTATAAATATCAGTATATTTATAAGTAGACTCCTCAATACTGTATTCAAAACAAACGCAGTCTTGCGGCATTTGTATTTATCTGTGATTGCACCAATAACTGGTCGAACCAATAAGCCTGGAAGTGGAAGAATCGTGAAAATTAAGCCAACAATGACTGGCGAATAGCCCCTTTGCTTCGAAATTGTCGACAAGAATGGAAGTATCGGAGCTGTGCCTGCAATTAGCAATTAAGTATTAATATTGTTAAAGCATATAATAGATTTATTTGTTTTAAATATTTTATAAACATATAATAACTAATAATCATTTTAAAATGGTATTATGTATTAGAGTTAGGTATAGTAAAAATACATGATCTAATTAAATAATACAATATTCAGAGGTCCATCTCTTAGGCACCTGACAATATTGCCAAAATAAAATAATAGATAAATTAGTATAAATTAGTTATGTGTAATAATTCAATTTCTAGACAAAATAATGTTGGAAGAAATGTTTTTAGTTATTTTAAAACTTATGGCATTTTCATAGATGAAAATTTAAAATGGAATTTTCATATTAATTATAACAACAGTCGTAAAAAGTTTTTTTACGTTTTCAATACGCTTAGAAAAAGATTATTACCTAAATTAAGAACTATGACTTATAATTTTGGTTCAATAATCTATGATATTTTATATGATACCCTTTTGGAGAAGTGCTTATAATATACATATAAATAAATTAAAGGTTAATATGAAATCTCTTTTAAGATTTATATTTTTTAATCAAGTCAATACTATAGTAATTATATTTTTAATGAATATTGTCTATCTAATTGGACCCCTTTTACTATAAAAAAATACCTATGTATATTTATGTTTAATTATAAGAGATTAATAAATTACTCTTTGCACTCTTATGCTACTAGATATAATAGTTCAAATGGAATTGTAACCCCTACAGGCTACAGGCTACAGAGAGAACTGAATTCATTAAGCCTTATCCATTATTTGGTTTTTGTAAAATTTACAAATTGTTCAAAATTAATTTATCTATTTTTGGTAATAATTATTTACATTTTAAGCAAAACACTAATAGAGTAAAAAGTAAAGATACTGTTATTTAGTAATATTTTTATTAAAGTAAAGGTTATATCTGAACCCTACTCATACCACAGCCACAGTCCAACTTTGTAATATAGCATGTTATCTCATTTGTACAAACTTTTTGGTGATGAATAAATAAATAATTAAGTTAATTTAACATAATATGTAACCGAACATTTGTAATGAAAATTTGATTTGCAGATATCAGAAACATGAAAAAAAAAATGTAAGCCAATTGTAATAACATGAATTTAAAATATATATAAGCCTACCTGTAGGTACCTAGTCAAAATATTTTTAAGGAGGGTACAAATGAATACAAATCAGGTACAAAATAATGAAATTGGGCTAATATAACTATATAGGACGATTTTTAACGTCGGGTGTCTGGTTGAACGTCGTCGTTACAAGACTTGAATTTAAAATTCAATTTTTCGTCTAAGTGGAAGGAGTACATATTTTTTTAAAAGTAAAACACAAATTGATACATGACGAGCACAACAAACAACCTTGGTCAGAGGTAGAAAAAATGTTTAACAATCCGTAATAAAAACAAAAAACTATGTCCTGAATTAAGATTAATGTATTAAATCAAAAAAATTAAGCATAGCATTCGTATAAAAATGTATAATACTATAGAAGTGTAATATATTTTATTTACCATTTGTAATACAATTATATTGCTGTGGCTCACAGAATTTATTTGAAACCTTTGCTTTAAATTATTTACTCGTTAAGCACAAAAATATTTAATTATTAAAAGACCATTTAATTTACTATTTTTAGTCGAGTAAATTTTACGATGACGAAGAATAAGTATAGTAAATACAGACAGATGCATATAATGGCATTTTAAGTTGATAAAAAAAAGATATATAGGTACAAAGGATTGAAAACTCTTCGTGTATTATATATAATATATACGTACCGGCCATTACCAAAAAAAAATGAATTTTTATCGGTAAAAGTTTCTTGTTTATCTGATATAGAGGCATTTTTTAAATATATGTTTACATTTAAACTGGAAAAATGAATAGTTATTTTTTCGTTTCACTATATTGAATGTGTTAATGAGATATTTGAACATTACAGATGTCTAGAAAAACTTAGAAATATTGACGTTTTAACATAAAAAGATTGTTGAAGTACCTATTCAATTATCTTTGCATATTCAATTTTCACTAGTATACACGATCATAATAATATATTTTGTAATACAATGATTAAGTTTATTCGTAATCGTTTTCCATTTTAAAACCCACCAATAATATTGTATTCAATATTGACTACATAGTATCTCTAACCTACAATTTTGTATTTGCCAATATTATGCTTTTGACAAAAAAGATAAAAATCATAAAATACCTATATTTATATTGAAATAAATATAATCCATTCGACAAAAAAATCAATGAGATTTTACAATACAAATCAATGTTTCTGGAAAAACATTAAATTAATCGCACTATTTTCCCATATTGAATATAGTTGACACAGGAAAACTACACATTTCATCACTCTGTATATATGCGACGTATATTATATTATTTATAGTTACATATATCGATCGATACACGCAAGTAGTATGTGTTTACAAGGATTACTGATTTTTTTGATTTTTTTTTTATGTATAGGATTTAATTCAAATTGCGTCATACAAGTATGTTGTTTTTAATCTTGTTATTTTCATAAAATAGTTTACTGGTCGTCATCACTGCCGTCGGTTATCGAAGTATTACGTTGTTATGCTACTTCACTGCTCACACAACTACAGACCGATACATACACGAATTACCTATTACCAGAAGCTAGAATCATTAACCACACTTTGACCATTTTGTCTATTCTACAAAATAATATCATAATAATTAATTTATCATAAATGCAGTTTATTTTTGCAAAAACTATTTCCGCCTACCGTATTTCTTATAAAAAAAAAACTTAAATAACAATATAAATATATAATAAAATATCCTTAAAAACATACACCATCCTAGCTCAGAATTCATGTTCGTATGCAATGATTTATATTTGACTTTAAATTCAACACATATTTTACCAATAACCTATAACCTACTCAGTGACGAGTACACTAGACACCTACTTTACAGCAGAGCGACTTCCAAAGTTTTTTTTTTTTAAATGCCATATAAATAAAATTGTTTAAACTTAAAGAATTGTTTTATCGTTATAGCAACAAGTACTTAATACTGAATACAATTTTATTTTAACCCTGCCAGTTAAAATTCCGTCAACATAAATCGGGAAATGAAAATGGTATTATAACGAGGCAAATAGGCAATCTTGGGTAATATAAACGTAATGATCAGACTTGACCAGAAAATACATATTACATGTGAGTAAAATTTTTTCAAACTTGGATTTAAGATGAATTTCTTTTATTGGTTTTATAAAGTTTTTTTCAGTGACATTCACATCTAACTATATTCTAATCTATATACCTATATATATCGAATCTATATTCTTTGTAACAGCTAATTTGAGAAACTATACCCATCTGATTATCTTGATTTTTTTCTAATGATAAAGTATATCACGAAAGAGATTTTAAAGGTTATTCCCCATGTCAACCCCTATAACTGTTCATAAGTAGTAAAAGGGTAGATCACACACGCGTTTTTTCTGCTCACATAAAAAACAATATTCTTTTTGCTTATTTAAATGGTTGCCATATAATGTTACATAATAGTTACATTACCTACAATAATATTATAATTAGTGAAAATAATTTTGCTTATTTACTTCAGGTAAACATAATATTGGCCCGCGGGAGTTTACCGCCGCCCATTTATGTGTCCGTGTGATAGCGTTTCTTGTCCCGTGGGTTCAAGTCCACCAAACAAACTCCACACCTGTCGGTGCGGCGAATGCACACACGTTCGCCTCTGTCATCTCCATGGTTCGGGACTCCGGGTACACACGACCAATACACAGTGTACTTGGATATCGGCTGATCAATTTAAATAATCAACATAATGTTATCTCTATCTCCCTCACTCCCATTGTCTCCGTCACCCGTCGTCTTTGCTGCTGACTAAGCCGGCAGGCGATGACACTTCTTTTTCATACACCGTTAGCACCGCAGCATGGGAGGATTAGAGTCCCAATTTTGTTGCCACGCTTGCGGGAGGCCTGGTAGGAACACCCTGTGTGGCTGGTAATGTACCCTTTTATTTATTGTCAATACACCGTGGCCGGTATCCTTGTACTCGTGAATTATTATTATTATCATTATCATAGTATACTCCCGGTAACCGTCCAGAGGAGCCGGTGAGAGTTATACTCATTGTTTTTGTACCGTATATATGTATAAATGTATTATTGGTTTATCCACTTATTTATTTAATTATTTATTTTGTCCGAGTCTTATGCCTGTTGGCTTTCTCGGCGCCAACTTAGATAATAATAACTTAATATTAATATAACTTATTTTATCTCATACCATGTTACCAATTATTATTTCGTATCAATTATCCAGTATGGTCTGTGTAAATCCACGACGCTCCGACCTCCCCAGGTCTCGGCTCGTGGTTGGCGACCTTGTTAATCCATAGGCGACCACATAACACAGTGGCGTCTAAATATAAATACGAATCGAGTAGAGATGTCACAAGATCACATTTTAGCCGTTGGGGGTGAGTATATCCTAGTATAAATTCGCCCAGGACTCGAAAAGTAAGTATAAAATGCTATATTTATACCACCTTCATGACGAAGTTTTTTTTAACAATATGTCATAATAAAAATTAATCATACATATAAAAATATTCAGAGTTTCAGCCGAATAGACGCCCGCTGCTAGTTCCACTCAACTAGCTATTATATATTATAGTCGGCGTTCGCGTAATGAAACCTTGCCATTGAGACGTCACTTTTGTTATTTTTGTAAGGGACACAAGAAATTTGTGAATACCTATGTCCTATACATAGTATGCACTTTTATCACAGAATATTTGAAAATTATTGAGGGTAATAGAATATGACTATGACACCGGGCGCCTGGGATATAGAGAAATGCAACTGAGCGTACAAGGTATCTTATTATTACTAGTCGTTCGAGAAAATAGTCCTCTACTCCCAAAGCTATGGTCCACCAACTTCCCACCCGTCGAATTTTGTTGTGTTTGGACCAAATTAGTTCAAGTAAGTAGTATCTATAGTTAATACTATGAATTATTTTTTGTGGGAAATGAACAACTGATAAAATATTCATTACCTATACATATATTGCAATTATTTGTTTTGTTATGTTAAATACCTAATTTTGTATCATTTTCTTGCTTAAAATTTTTAAAAAAATGCTTACCATAACTACTTATTTAGGTGTTCAATTAATAATTACTAAGATTTAACAAAACCTAGTAATTAAATACATTTTCCATTATTGGTATTGCTTGGATATAATTTAATCCAGTGATTGAACCGGTATATTAATAAATAATAATTCATTTCTTTCCTTGTTTGATTCTTGGGTTAATAATAAAAAAAATGCTGAAAATATTAATATTGAGGATATACCTGTTGAGATTGGATAGAATAATAGTGATAATCAGTATTGTACGATTGTAATTTGGATTTTTCAGAGCATTATGCATAATCTTGGGTAACTGTTTTTTAATGAAATAACTTTTTTTTAAATATTCTATAGATTAATAATTAATAATAATTAAATTTTTGTTTTAGAATCTGAACAACCCATTACCTAGTGCTGAGAGTACATACACTAAAAATAATATTAACTTAACAACTGAGAACTGATGATGTGGAAATTAAAAATTTAGGTAAAGACGTATTTAAAGAAAATGAGACTGATAGTATGATATTTGAAACTGTGAACAAAACTGAATGATATACAAAAGATACAAATGTATTATATGAAACTGTAAATAAAACTGAAAATATGTATTAAACTATGAATGAGGCTGATAATATGTTTGAAACTGTTAATGAGACTGAAAATAATATGAAAAAAACTGATTTATGTGATTTAGAAACTAAAAATATAATAGATTGCAATGTTAAAGAGACTGATAGTTTAATAAGTGGATAAGTGGTTAAGTTATATAAATTAATATAGTTGATAAATGTAAAAGCGAAATCAGCAAAATAGCATTAAGTGTAAATAAATCTAATTTGAGTCCTGCAACAATTGAAGAATCATGAGGCAAACATTTGTTTTGGCTGAAACCTGGCACTAAAAAAAAACTAAATAGAAGTCAAGTAAAGTTACCATTTGCTGCTGCATCAATTAAATGGAGGGAATATCATGAAAGTAAAGAACAGAAAAAATTAAGAAAAGAAGAAGAACTTACACAAAAACGAAAACTTATAGATGAAATAAAAAATATTTAAAATGTCTTAAAATTGTCAAAAACCCACAAAAAAAAAAAAAACAGGAACCAAAAAAAATTTAAATTTGCAAAAAAAATAAACCAAGATTAAGTAGAACTATGGCCGGGGTCTGAAGATAATTCCAAATGTTTGTATCGCACAGAACCTTACTCTTCATCAAAAAGCGGTGAACCGTGGATCAAATGTTGAGGATGTTCTGAAGGGTCCATGAACTCTGTGTTGGTTTTTAAAACACGATTGCTTACATTTGTGATTTCTGTTGTTAAATTTTTATTTTACTTAAAATTGTTAATTTTTAAATAATTTGTATACAACTACTGTTATATATAGTTGTAGCATTGTTACTTTCGTACACAGATATATATTTTAATGGTTACCAAATGGTTTTTATTAATACATTTACTTTAGTGTAATATCTTAATAATAACTTACTTATGTTAGTTTATAATTTTTATTATAATCCTGTTTTTAAGTTAGTTATTAGATATATATGTTTACATTTAAGTCATGCGTTATTTTTTAATTAAGGTACTACTACATATTATTCATGAATTATTTAAATACAAATTGTGTTATCAAATATTCTTAAGTTTTCATACACTGGGTTTGAAGTGCTTATAGACCAGCATGCTGTGTTCAATCACTAGAATTTTAATTATTTTTTCAAATAAACTAATATGCTTGACAGTAATTCGATTTTATATGGTTTTCTTAATGTTAGTTTAAAACTGAGCAGTTGTCCCAATCTTAAAATCTAAAATGTTTAAATGTGATGCTTCAAACCAATTTATGATGACATT